TTTCCTTTCTTGTAGTAGTTTTCTCCAACCCTTCATATCTTCTATCCATGCATTTGACCATTGTCTCTGCAATTTTGACAGTTTTACACCTATTTCTTTGCCTAGTTCTTTTAATTGTTTGTTTACTTTACTTCCTTCTTCTTTTATCACTTCTTGGTCCTTTTTTGTCTTTGCATATTTAATTAGTCTTTGTATTTTGACTATATTTTCTTCTAGCTGCTGTTTTTTTTGACTTCTTTTCCTATTCCTTACTGTATTGTATATTTTCTTCTTGGGTATATGCTTGCTTGCTGCTGTGATGATTGCTTCTTCTATTACATCCCAAATATTATTTATTTTGTTTACTCTTTCCTTTTCATCTCGCTTTTTCTCATGAATGTTCTTTAGAGTTTTTCTAAATTCTAGTCGTTTTTGTAACTCTTGTACATAATTTTCCTAATCTTCTGTTTTTGCTTGATCATAGCAATATAGTGTTCTTGACTGTTTTTTCCTCTTAACCTCTGCTTTACTTTTCCTTGCTATTACATGTTTGATCTATATTTCTGCTTTTACTATTTTATGATCGCTTTCTGTAATTTTCTCTGCTTCTTCAATTTCTGCTTTTTGCAACCCCATTGCAAGTCCATCTGATACCCATATATAGTCAATTCTTGTCGCTGCTTCTTTATTTGACCATGTATATTGTTGTTCTGTTGGGTGCATATCTCTGTACATGTCACTAAAATCCTGCTTTTTCATCTAATTAAAAATTGGCAGTCTTTTATAGTTCGCTAACTGTGGGTATTGTCTGTCTAATATATTGTCTGCTGTATAGTTAAAATCACCCATTATGACTATTTGTGTTCATCTTTTTCTTTTTAGGACTGTTTCTACAATTTTCTGTTGGATGCTCTTTCCCATTACCTTGTCATTCGGTGGTATATAGACCAAGATTATTACTAACTCTAATTGCCTAAAGTAAAGTGTAATTTCCATCATGTATTTACTTATTTTCCTAACTGCGCCTATATGTTTCTTCTATTGTTTATTTATCAGAATTCCAATGCCTGATCCTTTTTTCTTATCTTCTACTGCATTTGCCTAGTATCCTATATATTTATTGCTTGCAGTATATGTCAGAAACTTTTTTCTCTTTCTGTAAGGTTCATTTCGGTAATTTCTAGTATTGCAATTTCTTTTTTTTCTGCCCACTCTAGCAGATTTCCAAGTTTCCAACCTTTAGTTTTTAGTCCATTAACATTGTGACATGCGATTTTGATTTCTTTCCTTCCTTCTTTTCATTTTTCTTTTAGATTTCCTTATATTTTTTCCTTCTTCATTATGTTTTCTTTCTTTTTTTCCTCTTTTTTTCCTTTTAGATTAAGAGATCTTTTTTTTCTACTCTCCTCAAATATTCTCTTCTCACCTTGCAAGAAATCTCCAATCTCCTTATCTATATGCATTAGTTCGACCGATGCACCCTTAGGAGCAATTTGCCAGAACTGCCTGATCTTGTTGAGTTTCTAATCTTTCTAACCTTTCTAATATCTTCTAGAGAATGTTATGTACCTGTAGATTTGTTTTTTTAGTTTCACTTTTCTTTCTTTTGTAACTATTGTGATGCTTATCTTTTTTCTTTTCTTGCTTGTTACTATTACTGCTTTTGTATACCTCTACCTCTGAGTCTTCAGTAATATCTTCTGTGTTAATATATTTAACATTAACATTTTCACACTTGTTT